TCGTATGGTAGCTCTATTCTTGATTTTTTGAGGAATCACCAGACTGCTTTCCATAGTGGTTGTACTGGAAACAACCAAAGTGTCCTGCAATAGAGGACTGGGTAAAGAAGATGTGGTACATATACACAATGGTATACTACTCAGCCATAAGAAAGGATGAAATAGCGCCACTTGCAACAACATGGATGGACCTTGAGAACATTATGCTAACTGAAATAAGTCAGACAGAAAAAGCTAAGACCCATATGATTCACTCATATGTGGGATATAAAACTGAAACTTGTGAATACAAACAGTGTGGTGGTGGTGTGGTGGTGGCCATAGGGAAGAGGGTGGGGGGAGAAGGGGGTCCTAATATATGGTGACAGGAGAAGATTTGACTTGGGGTGGTGAGCACATGGTGCAATACATAGATTTTGTAACACAGAAACCCACACCTGCAACCTATATAAGCATATTAACCAATGTCACCCCAATAAATTTAATAAAAAAGGAAATATCAGGAAAAAAACAAGGATTATTTAGTGAATCCATGTCAGATTATCTATGCTTTCTCACCTATGCCAGCTATGGTTAAAACCTTGAATACTTCAAATTTAATAAGGTGTAGTGATGGACATAAGAGAATAAAAAATAGGATCCTGCTTTTGAAGAGCACTTAGAATCTCAACTGTGGATGACTGTGAGGGTGCGCAGAGCAGTCTCCCTAAAACTCATCTCTGTTTTCCCCAGTTCACCATCTACCCTGCAGTTCATCTCCCATTGCTTTCATCATGTCTCACCAACTACTGTCAATGGCTCCCCATTACTATCAGAACAGTTTTCAAGGCCCTCTACGATATGGTCTGAACCTACCCGTCTAATTTAGTCTTCCACCATTTCCAAGTGATAATCAGACAGCCAGGCCAGTGTTTCAACTTTCTGAGACCAGCAAACCTATCTTTACACCTGGCTTCTCCTCATGCTGCTCCCCCAACTCAGAAAGCCCAGCCCCACTTCTCCATCTATCCAAATCCTGCCTATCACTCGTCTTCCTTGAAATGCTCTCAACCCCTTCCTTATAGATCCATGTCTCTTTTCTGATTTCCTTTTGTTTTTGTTTGAAGACTTCATTTTTTTTAGAGTAGTTTTAGGTTCACAGCAAAATTGAGAGGAAGGTACAGAGATTTCTCACACATGCATAATCTCCCCCATTATCAACATCTCCCATCAGAGTGGTGTATTTGTCACAACTGATGAACCTACACTGACACATCATTATCACCCCAAATCCTTAGTTTATATTAGGGTTCACTCTTGGTGGCTATTTTATGGATTTGGACAAATATATAATGACATATATCCACCATTCCAGTATCATAGAGAGTATTATTATTTCCTTTTAAATCTAGGCATTGCTACTTACTTGCTCTAAGAGTGTGTCCTTCCTCTCTCATTTATTAAACATACTAGGGGCCCAGTGCATGAATTCGTGCACCTTGAAAGGAACTGTGGGCCGCGAGGCTGTGGTACCCACCACAGGGTGCAGGGGCGGGTCTCGGCCCATCCTCCGTGCCCCCAACTGGCCCCTCCCACCACGGCCCCTGGTCCCCTGTGTGCCGGCAGCCCTGCTCCCACCACAGCTGCTCCCATATGCTGAGGGCACCAGCACTGCTCGCACTCACTGACGGGCGAGGAGAGATAGGGGCAGGCGCCAGCAGCAGGTGCAAACAGGGATGGTGACATCAGTAGGTGCGAGCGGTGGCTGCTGCCCTGATCACCCCTCAGGAGCAGGGCAAGGTGGAAAAGCCCTCAGGGGAAGTCGGGGCCGGCAGCCACCACTCACACCCGCTGATGGTGCTGAGCGATCGGGACCGGCACCGGACACTGGCAGTGGGTGCAAGCGGCGACTCTGGCGCTGGCTGTGGGTGCAAGTGGGGCTGGCGCTGGCAGTGGGTATGAGCAGCAGCTCCAGCACTGGCAGCGGGTGCGAGCGGGGCTGGCGCTGGCAGCAGGTGAAAGCACCGGGCAGGACTGTGGTGCTCAGGAGCAAAGAATTTTCAGTAACCACCAGAGGCTCGTCCCAATGACAGCGACTGGTACCCCGCCTTGATCTGGTGTCCCCATTCCACCATCCTGCCCCATCTGATGCCTACCATGTTCCACACATGCCCCCTGGTGGTCAGCGCATGTCATAACAACTGGTTGTTTGGTTGTTCCAGTTTTTCCACCGTTCGGACTATTTGCATATTAGACTTTTATTATATAGGATACTTAATGAATACTTACTGTCTGCCAGACTAATGTGATTTATACTGAATATACAGCACTGAACTAAACAGACCTGGTTTGTACCCTCCTAGACTGTATAATTGAATGAGGCAAGATAGACTATAAGTAAACAAACAAAATAAACAGAAAGTAATTTCAAGTGATAAGTGTTGCAGAGGAAAAACACAAAAACTGAAAAACATCAGAAAGCTATGAAAGAACAACAGAGGGACCTAAATTAGATAGAGTGGAGGGTGGGGGCAGGGTGTACTCAAGGAAAGTCTCTGAGGAAGGGACATTTAAACAGATAAATGTCTGTTTGATAAGTGGATAGGAGTTAGGTAGCCAGGATAAGATGGCAGGAAGAACATTATAAGGAACAGCATCTTTAAAGGCCCTGAGGTAGGAAGGAAGGAGCTCAGTGAATATGAGGGCCTGAAAGAACTGAAAGAAACCAGGGAGGCAAAGGAGAGTTGGGAAAGATGAGCCCCTTCTAACCAACTAGACCTTGGACGCCTTACACCTGGGGTTTTTCCCATTTTATCATTTGTGTATCATTTTATCTTTTTTATATTAGACTTAAATGGTCTGAGGACTGAGCATAGTACTTAGCATATAGTAGATACATCAGTAGGTTGAAGGATTTGACCACTTGCTGATACACAACTAAAGTGACATAGGAAATTAGAATAAAACATGAAATAATGCATAATCAAGCAAAGCTGTCTGAAGACTCTGGAAGATCCTGGGCACTCTCACTCTCAGATGCCCTACTACTCCCACACGATTAAAAAATGAACCTAGGGTGGACTGGAGGGGGTCGAGGGGGGACAAAGGGGGATATATGTAATACTTTCAACAATAAAGAATTATTAAAAACAAAACAAACAAAAAAATATAGAAAAAAATAAACCTAGATCAAACATTAATTGTATGTTATCACCTCATAATAGAGTTGAGTTGAAGTTAATTGCTTTCCATAATACTAAATTTATGAACATTTAAAGATACAAACATTAACTTTTATTTTGTAAAGTTTGTTTTAAGTCCATTTTTTTTTCACCTCTCAAACACCCTTTTAGACTTTAAAGAACCATAGGTCCTGAGCACTTTGCCTAACGGGCAAAGGCCCTGTAATCAAGGGCTGAATTCAGCAGAACAAACAACAAATGCTACAGGAGTCAGGGAAGAGAGACATCAACAGGAGCAGGAAGGCTCACGGGCTGTGTATCTAGTTGATTTGCCTGGCCAACAACTGCAGCTCCTAGAAAACAGAGGAAGTAAGAGGCCCTGTTAGTCTGGGCCTAACTTGGACCCTAAAGCAGAAATTAGTAGGTCAATTTGAAGCACTAAGGGTCTTGGGAAGAAGTAACCATGTCTTTTAAAAGTACGCAGTACCTGACAACGGGCAGATTTTATGAAGGCAAACGTCAAACCATTCAGAAAAAAAGCATAGGTCTGCTTACCTGGCCTGAGACACTGCACAGGAAGAGAACTATCCAACCACAACTCTGAGGAGACAATGGACAATGGGAAGGTAGGCAGCTGAGTAGGTCGAAATGCAAATTCAGTAATGAGGTCAGAGTTGAAAAGGCCACACTGGGAAACGGAGGGCATAGATAGAAAGAGTCTTAGTCTGTTCAGACTGCCAGAACAAGATGCCACAGACTGGGTGGCTCAAACAACAGACATTACTTCTCACAGTTGTGGAGGCTGAGAAGTCCAAGATCAAGGTGCCGACAAGGTGGGTTTCATTCTGAGGCCTCTTTTCTTGGCTTGTAGGTGGCTGTCATCTCACTGTGTGTTCACATGACCTCTTTGTGGGCACAGGAGAGAAAGAGAGAAGGAGAGAGAGTGCACATGCTAGCTCTCTGGTACATCTTCTTTTAAGGGCACACATCCCAGCATGAGGCACCCACTATCAAGACCTCATCTAATCCTAACTCCCAAAGGCCCAATCCCCAAATACTGTCGTATTGGTGTTTAGGGCTTCAACACGTGAATTTTGAGGGAACATAATTCATGTCTATAGCTGAAGGATACACCTCAAAGAGAAACAAGGGACTGAGCCAAGGGTTGAGAAAAATAAACACAATTCTTTTTTTTTTAAAGGTGCTGTAATAGAGCAGGAGCTTCCTAGACAGTGCTGGGCTGAATCCCAGCCTTGGACATGTTACTTAATATCTCTGAGCCTCAGTTTCCACCGCTGTAAAATGCGGACAGAAATGCTCATGTTCTAGGGTTGTTGTAAAACTTAACAGGATAGAGGGTTTAAAGTAGCTGGCACAGAGAAAAGACCTTTCAAAGGTTTTGATGGAGCATGGAAGGTACAGGTATGTTGCTCAGGAGCAGAAGTTGTGATGGTAACTTGTGACGGAAAAAAACTGTTGCATGCTGAACGCACTGTTTCATGGGTACCGGTCTCACTGAGTGGGGGGTGGAACCCAGTAACTTGTCCAGTACCTTCCACCTCCTGTAAATCCACATATCTATGAGGAACCAGATCTATTCATCTCATCTGCTTTGTTGTTACTATCAATTCCTGCTCAGCACTCTTACAAACATTATCTCCTTTAATCTTCACTACACTCTGACAACCAAATACTAATAATCATAGCTGTTACTATTCCAATTTTATAGATGTGCAAACTGAAGCTCAAAGAATTGGATAACGTAGTCCAAGGTCAGACTGCTAGAGAATGACAGAATCTGGGTTTGCATCCAGGACTTCCTGGCTTCCAGCTCAGAACACCAGCTTCCCTGCTCCCACTTCAGTGGAGCTGCGTGTTGGTCATACAAATACCAGGAGGAAGATGGTAAGAGAACACTAGGCTTTGAATGAGCTTGTGTCTCCGAGCTTGGACAAATTCTGGCTGGGCTATCAATAGAATTTATATACGAGAAGACTGTTGGCAGTTTTTCAGGGACTATGGAGCCAGGGGGAGATGCCAGAAGACTGTAGATGGTACACACTGTTCCAATTTGTGAAAAGGGGACGAAAGTTGATTCTGTAAACCGTTGATGGCAGTCCTGGGCAGAGTTCTTGAAGGACAATTTGTGAACATAAAAAAGAGAAGTAAATAGAAGTTATTAGGCTCTAACAAATATTCACTGAGAAGAAATTGTTCCAGATGAACCTCACTCTCCTTTTTGATAAGGTATAAGACTGGTATGTTTTTATTTAGACGATGCATTTTGCTCATTACAATGAGCAAGTTAGAAATGTGTAGACCAGAGGTGTATAGACAGATGGGTTCATAACTAGTTGAACATTTATTTTTTCAAATTAAGAAACAATTTTAAATTTTGTTTCCATAAATGCATCAATTTTTGGTTATTCACTTTTTAAAAATGAGACGATTGTGGATTTACATACAGTTGCAAGAAGTAAAAGAGAGAGAAATCCTCTGTACAGTTTGACCAACTTTCCTTACTAGTTATATTTTGCAAAACTATAGTATAATGGTACAATCAGGATAGCCATATTGATATAATCCACTGATTTTATTCAGATTTCCTCAGTTTTACTTGTACTCATTGTGTGTGAATTAAATTCCATACGGTTTTATCAACTAAGTAGAATTGCCTATTCGTCCACCACATCAAGGTACTAAACAGCTCCCACTGAAAAATCATTTTTAATGTAGGAGATAAAAGTTTAACTAAGCCTTGAAGGACAAAGGAGGGGGAAAATATTTCAGGTGAGAGAAGAGCAAAATGAGAATCAGCAACATGAATGAATATTGGATGTGGGGAGGGCATCAGTGCTATTAAAGGGAAGGACTGTTAAATTATAGAAGAGGTAATTAGGTTAGGTAGGTAAGATGTATAGCCATATTATAAAAGGCCTTGACCATCAGGGACCTTATCACTCATATTAAAAATAGTATACCACCTAACTCTTAGAAGGCACTCAGAAAGTCATCCCTGCGCCCAATGGTACAAAGAGGCATCGTGTCTTGTGCCTGTTGTTCTTTCCACCTAAAAACTCTTCTCTGGATACTCAGGTCTGGATCCATCTCATTAGTCAAATCTAGCTTAAAGGTCACCTCCGCAGGGAAGCCTGTCCTGCTCACCCATCCTAGGGTGCCCACCCTGCTCTCTCTATCCCAGGTCCTGCTTTATTTCTTTCATAGCCCTTTTTATTTTGTTAAACTTAGGTTACTCATTCATTGTTTCTTTTCCCCCACATACATTTTATGAGAAAAGAGATATTGACTGTTTTGCTTACTGCTGTATCCCTCTGCTGAAAAAAGCACTAGCACACAGTAGGTGCTTACTAATTGTTGAATGAAGAAACAGGTTGCCTGCAGAAGTTATGGCATATACCGTTTTTTGAAGCGTTCTTAGTCTTGTCATCCTTCTTCCTATTTTTCCTTCCTATTCTCTCTTACCTTGTGGATTCAGAACAAGCAAATATGAAATGGGGGAGGGAGATTTCATCATTACTATTGTGTATGTTTCCTGAATTTCACTTCAAACCATACGAAAATCAGATGCTGAGTAGTGAAAGGACAGAAGGTTATTATTTGTTAATATGTGATCAGGCTAAAAAACAAACAAACAAACAAAACCAGACCATTCACTGAGTTAAAGATTTGTGCCCATCTGAAGTATCAGGCAGCCATCAAGAGACCCTATCTTCAAAGAACTCAGAGCTTAGTGTGGGAGACAGGGATGCAAAATTATAGTAAGTGCAAAAAGCACCATGATGGAGGCATGGACTGGGTGCCACTCTGAGAGCCATTTAACATCTGAGTCAGGAAGGGATTAATAGAGGAGAGACCATTGAGATTGGGACTGGAAACAAGAGTGGCTATTTACCAGGTAATCAATCAGAACTAGAAAAACACAGGGCAGCTTCACATATTCTGAAAGATACCTCTCCGCAGCAGTTTTTCCCTCCACCCCTCCTTTTCTTCCTAAAATTCAATTTCAATAGTTTTTTTGAGATACCTAAGGTATTTTTCACCTTCCTGACCTCAAGGTGTTCTAAGGTACAGACACCAGAGCTCCCACTCTGGAATCAGACCCTGGGTTCAAATCACAGTTCCACCAGCTCATTAGCTTTGTGAACTGTGAAAGCAACTCAACCCCTCTATTCTCTCAGCTTTCTCATCCATAAATTGGGGATAAGAACAGTACTGTACTAACCTCGTAGGGTTGCCTTGTATACAGTAAGTATTCAATAAATATGGCTGTTATTATTTTTAACAAACTATTAAGAGTTATGGGACTAGGGAAGAGGGAGAGAAAGAAACACAGGATCCCAATGCTAATCACAACCATATTCTTTCCCAAGTGTTTTGATATTCTCTTATTAGGTTCTTCTCATTCATACCGAAGTAATATAATTTTCCGTGGCCAGATTCATTTATTTTTCTGGTTAATCAATTTGTATAGGTTTTATATCAATTCAAGGCTTCATCTTGGTTTCCCAAAACATTTTCTCATGCTTGGGAGAGGCAGATCAAGGTCCTTATGAAGTATGAGGGTGAAAATGAAGATCACCTGCTGGGAAGTGGTGCCCCCAGGTGGTTAGACCTGGGGTAGCAGAGGCCCTCACACAAATGCCTGCAGGGAACCGGTAGGAAGCAATGTGTGAATCTTGCTCAGTAAAAACTTTATCTACTGTGTCTAATAACTGTCTTTTGCTGATATGTGGAAAATATAGGTTCAGTGTTTATGGCAACTATGAATCTTTTTCTTTAAAAAAAATATTTTTATTGATTTCAGAGAGGAAGAAAGAGGAAGAGAGAGAGATAGAAACATCAATGATGAGAGAGAATCATTGATTGGCTGCCTCCTGCATGCCCCCTCACTGGGGATTGAGCCCGCAACCCGGGCATGTGCCCTTGACTGGAATCGAACCTGGGACCCTTTAGTCTGCAGGCTGACGCTCTATCCACTGAGCTAAACCAGGTAGGGCTTTTCCCCCCAAAAAAGCTGGAAATCCAAATTTTATAAGAAATCTAATATTTTAATGATAGCAATTAATTTAAAAAATTAAAACAAGTCTGCAGGCAGGACCCAGCCCATGGGGCCAGGAGCTTGGCCTCTGGGGGTTCAATGTTCAGGTGCAAACAGCCTTCCAGCCTTCTACACTCTCCCTTGCAGAGGAGGAAATGACGTTGGAAGCCACACAGCTGTTGTAGAAGCCAGAGTAATCTTGCTACAGGTTGAATTTAAGCATTTATTTCTCTATCAGTCAAAGTCCTCTAAGGGCCAACTTCTTGCACTAAGGATGATCACTTCTGTGAATTTTGTTTGTAATCACTCAGGGAGCTCTTTCTTGAGAAAGGAAGTGGAAAGCCAGAACTTGTAGGTTTTGTTTGTTTTAGTTTGAATGCTTTTTTCTCTCTTCTCTCACTTTTTTTTATTTCTAGCTGGCAGGGCTGCAGAGTGGGTATGGGTTGGAGGTGGACACCTCCTGGACCACCGCCTTCCAGGGTCTCCCAGGGAGGGAAGAGTGTGGGCAGATTGGGGAACCAGGGGACAGCTGGTTCTCACCTGCCTTCTCCCCTAACCCAAGTTCAAACTCAGTGAACAGAAGCCCTTCTGCGAGGTGAACCAGGCAGTCAGGAAAGCTAGGCATTTAGGTCACGGTTCATCTGCGTCTTCTGCATGGCCCTAGTATAGGTTTTCAAGTTTATCAAAACACACCCTTTCCTTCACACACCACGGGGAGGGGGTAATGTGGGTGAGGAGGAGAGAAGAGCAAACCTTTGGGAGAATGGAGGGATTCTAGCAGTTACTGAAGGTAAGATGAGAAAAATAAAGTCCTTCAACTGTCTTTATCCATTTTTCTTCCTTGTTAAAAAATATGTTTTTAAAAAAAATTGATTTCAAAGAGAGGAAGGGAGAGAGAGAGAGAGAGAGAGAGAGAGAGAGAGAGAGAGAGAGAGAGAGAGAGAGAGAGAGAGAGAGAGAGAGAGAGAGAGAGAGAAATAATAAGAGAGAAACATCGATTGTCTGCCTCCTGCACACAACCTACTGGGGATCGAGCCCACAACCCAGGCATGTGCCCTGATTGGGAATTGAACTGTGAACTCCTGATTCATGGGTCCACATTCAAACACTGAGCCATACCAGCAGGTCTCTCTTCATTTTTTAAAGGTGTGTGTTGGAGAATGGTGTTAGCCAGGAGCCCTCATTTTTCATAGAAAGTGACTCATCGGCAGCAGAAGGACTTGCTCATAGGTAGGCAATGGGATGGGGAGAAAAAAAGCTGGAAACTTCCTTCACCTCCATCTCTCCTTATGGGGTCCAATGTGACCAGACTATGACCACTTAGAAAAACTTTAAATGATTTGTGAAAAGACCTGACATCTCAGATGGTAACTTGAGTTAATAACTAAGGAGGAAGTGGACTTCCTAGGCAATGAATTCTGAATATGTTAGGAGGGCATATTACTCAAGAGTTATCATGAAGATGTCTTCTGTCAAAGGAAGCCACAAGGCAAAGAAAGCAGAAGAGACACTCATGGTTTCTCTTGATCAGTGCGGGTTGCCTAAGTTGTCATTTCCAAGTGGAAGATGCTGGATAGTTCAGTAAGAGGATTTTTCCAGACAGATGAGTGGGGAATATACTCTTACTATAGGCCCGGTGCATGAAAATTCATGCACTAGAGAGGGGGGGGTCCCTCAGCCCAGCCTGCCCCCTCTCACAGTCCAGGAGCCCTCAGGGGCGGGAGGCGACCCAGTAATCAGGGGAAGGTGATGCCCCCATCACACCTCTGCTGCTGCCACTGCCGGCAACCCAGGCCTTGGCCGGCCCTGGTTACCTGAGCCTTGGGCGGCCCTGGGTGGCTGGGCAGCCGCCATCTGAGGCTTGCCTGTGCCTCAGGCTGGCCCTGGGCGGCTGGGGGGCTGAGGGGACTGGGGGACTCCGGAGGCAGGTGCACAGCTGAGGGGACTGGGCACCACCATCTTGTGGCTATGGGTACCACTATCTTTGAGGGTGTGGCAGTCAATTAGCATATCCCTCCTTATTGGCCGTTGGTGCCACCATCTTTGAGGGCGCAGCAGTCAATTAGCATATT